GGAGGGTGAAGACTTTTGGAGCAGCAGCTCCACCAGCGCCACAGTGCTCGACTTTCCGGCTGGAGTGGAGGGGAGGTTTAGGCTGCTGTGGTGCTCCGGCTCGCTCACTTCCTCAAGGGAGAGACTGCGGTCTGCGGCGAGGTGCAGCGCCGAGTCGCCGTCAGGGTTGAGGGCGCAGACGTTGGCGCCCGCGTCCACCAGAAACTTGGCCGCCCTCAGCTGACCGGTGAGGATGTAGCGGTGGAGGAGGGGCCACCCGGCCGAGTCGGTGGCGTCCACGTTGGCCTTGTGCTCCAGCAGGCTCTGCGCAATCGAGTACTGGCCACTCTGCAGCGCCAGGTCCAGCGGAAGGGCGCCCAGGTTGTCGAATTCGTTCACCTGTTTATATGCCGGAAAAAAAACGAAAACAGGTGTTAAAATACTGGTAAGCAAAGTACTTCAAAGTGGTTCTGTTACCTTAAAGGCGAGCTGCGAGTCAAAGTCGACCAGCAGCAGAAAGATGAGGTCTTCATTGCGAATGCGAATGGCCTTGTGCAGCGGATAGCGAGACTTCTCCTTGAAGAGGCGGTGGAGAAAGGCGGTGGAGGCCTTGGTGAAGTCGCTCTCCCCCAGCGAGTCCCAGTACAGGGTGACCAGCTTGGCGGCGTACTCGCACAGCCGACCGAGCTTCAGCTCCTCCGAAATCTGGTAGAAGTAGATGCAGTTTTCTACACGCACAAAGCCGATCAGCGCCTCCTCGCACTGCTCCACAAGGGGCGTCAGCTGAAATTGCGTCGCGTAGCGGACGGTTTCTAAGGGGAGGAAGGAAAGGGAAAACAAAAGGTTAAACTAAAGTCACAATTTTTAAAGTCAGAAACTTCCAAAGCATACCGAGAATGTACTCCTCATCTCGGGAGTTGAGGGCAATGCTGCCCGAGTAGATCCACTTGAAGAGCGGCAGGCCGACCTCGGCCGTCAGCTCGGGCAGGTCCATCCGCTCGACCGCCTCCAGGTCGCCGTATGCGGCGCCCCAGCACAGCGAGCGAAACTTGAGCACAAACTTGTGGGCGTAAATTCGCTGGCTGCCGCCGGCCAGGCTGACCGTCAGATCGGAGTAGGCCTCGTTGTTGAAGAGCGAGCCGATAAAGTCGAGCACCTTCGAGACGAAGACCACCGAGGAGTCCTTGTCCACGGAGTTGGTGCGACTCTTGCCGCCGAGGCCTGAACTGGAGTTGAGCGAGTTGAGCGAGGCAAAGTCGGCCATGGTGCCCGAGTCGCCGTCATTGCCGCCTGCTCCGCCACTGAAAGTGGCCGAAGTGCTGAGCGAGGCGAGTCGGTCGTAGCGAGACTGCAGATCAGAGTGCTTCGCCTGCAGCTTGACGTACTCGTCTCGCAGCAGGTGTAGCCGCTTGTTCAGCTTGTCGTTCTCATCGCGAATGGTCGCCACCTGATTTGAGTCCAGCGGAAGGGAGGAGGCCAGTGTGCTGGTGGAGGAGGTGATCGACGAAAGCGAGGTGATGGAGATGTGACGATTGTGCTGCTGATGGTGGCTGCTGTTCAGGTGATTGTTTGAGGTGGCCGCGCCAGAAGGAGAGGACTGCTGCTTGGAGTAGATTGAACTGTTGCTGGTGTTCAACAGCTGATGAGGGTGACCGGGGTTGTTGGCGCTTGCTCCAGGGAGGAATGACATTTTCAGTTTGGCAAGGAATTGGAGTGGGTGTTGGGTTGATCTGGTAGAAAGCGGAAGAAATTTGGTGAAAATTAGTGCCAAAAAATACAACATAAGTTTCAGAAGTACATACCAGAAGTATCACAAGAAGAAGAAGAAGAAGAAGAAGAGGGATCAAAGACCGAAGACAAGGGCAAAAGTTGCGACTGAAAGTGATGATGACGTGTTGTTGACGTTGTTGTGACCTGGTTGTACAGCAACCTGATTGAAGTAGTAAGGTAGAAGTGAAAAGTAGAAGTGGTGCGTAGAATGAAAGGAAAGAGAACAAGTGGAAAAGAAGAGTGAGAAGAAGGGTGACAGTAGTAGTAGTAGTAGTAGTGGAGGTAGTGATGATCACGGTAGAAGTACAGATGAAGGGAGGGGGGAAGGGGTGATTAGGTGAAGCAAAGCTTTGGCTGGAAACAAAGTAGAAAAGTTGACAAAGAGGG